AAAGCGAAACAGATGCCTTGCAGAGAATCTTACACATCCAAGAGTGGACAGAAACCAGCCAAAGCCTGAGAAAGAAATCAGATTTCAGATACACCCGCAGCTGCCTGTGTGTTAGCACCGGGAGGAAGGATAAGCAGCGAGACCAGCTGCCCGCAGAGGGTTTCTGCTGGCTTCCCCAGCCCCAGCGGGGTGTTTGCTGCAGGGTGGTTTTGTTGCTTTTCTTTGTCTTTCCTATGCCTTACGAACATGGTAAAAAGCAGTGACCCTGATGTACATCTTTCTGAAAAACTTCAGCTTGAGAATTTATTTTGTGAAAGGCCTGTGAAGCAGGAAAGCTGCCTGTACAGTAAAAACCACATTGGTTGCTCCGTGTGGGTAGATAAAGTCTTGGTTTATGTCCTAAATAAAGTTGGGAAATCAATGGGGTATTTTTGGCTCAGTATTTGAACCGGCAAACAAAGTTTTTTAGAAAGGAACAAAAACAGACTTTGAAAAAATACTGAGTTGGGCCTTAAAAAATGACTTGAGTTGAAGGATATTTTTTGATGAAGAGCTTGAAAAACTTAATTTCAAGTTAATTTCAGTTGGTTCCAAAACCAAATGCTTTGTATTGCTATGGAGTTTTCTAATCCTTCTCCTCTGTCTTTAAATTACATTGATTTTTGCTGTTAACAGAGTATTCAAATATTAGAAAAAAATATTTAGGCAGTTATAAAGAAGATATGACCTGAAAACATCAGTCATCACGTGCTGAAACGGTGCAGTGTGATTACAGTTTTCCCTTGTTATACAACCAGTGCCTGACCTGAGCCTGTGCCTGGGCTGGAAGCTCCCGGCTCCCCCCGTTCCCCACCCCGAATACGGGGAGCCCCAGAGCCCCTCCCCAGAGCACCGGGAGCTTTAGTGGGGAGTATGTGGTACAGATCAAAGGACCACTGACATTATAATAATTCCTTGACAAAACGACCATGAATGCTACCTTGTGAGTGTTCAAAATAACTGGCAAGCCCCAAAAGACCAAAATTCTGAACATTTTTTGGATGCTAAAGAAGCATGTAAGCATTAATATTAACTGCTATTCCGTTAGGCGCACAAAAGTTTTGCAATAAATTTCAACGACTGAAAGTGCTCTAAAGTGAGGGGTGAGATTATGCCAACGGTCACCGCCAGCTCCAGGAAATAGCCCTGGGAAAGGAGACCAGGCTTAGAGGGAAACCTGAAAACAGAATGGGCTGTGAGATTTGAAAGGGCACAGAAGTGGGAGGAAAGGGTTAAAGAGGAGGTGAAGGAGTGAAGGTTGTGACTATAGTTAGAGGCAGAAACAGCCCACCCAGCCAAGGGCCGTGGGGTGTCTCAGCCAGCCCCAGTGTCCCAAACACACCTATCCTACCTAGTTTTCAGTTATTGTTTCTGGCCTGCCCTCCTGTCTCCTTTTTCTTACTGAAGACAGAATATTCCAGACTCCCAGCACCCCGCTGCTTGTTCACTTTTCCCAGTCAGTAACAGGCATGCATTTCATTTCAGCGTTTCTCTTAGTTTTAATATATTTCCATAATTCATTCTTGATGCCTTTTAGGTTTTTTCTTTATCTTGCTGTGCAACCATTCTCCCATCGTCCCCACACGTCTGTGCTCCCCCTTTACAAGCCCTGTTTTCACAGTTTGCATGAGTCCTCTTTGGTTTCTGGTCACTCCTGAGGCAATCAAATGTCTCTTTCTGTGCTCCTCGTCCTCGTTTAACACCAGAGAGTCTGTCTCTGAGGCTTTCTGAAGGAGAACTGGCCCTCCCATAAGCCTCTATTCCCAGGGTCTGTTTTTCTGCCTGAGAAAGTGCATCCAGGCACACATTTGCAGTGAGAATTTCTGTGGTACCAGCACTAACATGGTCCCTATTTCCCGTACGAGCTTGGGGAGATTGGTGGAGAGCAAAGCTGGCCTGAGTCTCACTTACATAATTTCCTTCTTTTTTTTTTTTTCCAGCAATGTACTTTCAGTGTCACTAAGCCAAGTGCGTGTGTTTACTATTAGCACAAATTAACAGGCAAAATGAGTTAATTAGAACTAAACATTAAACTAATTGCTTCCTGTTTCAAATGCTTTGAACTAAATGCAATATATAAAATTTTCTCTTCTTGGTTCCTTTTCCCTACCAAGCATCAGTGTTTGGGAGCGCTGGAAGATGTTTTCTTCCCAAAACCTAAATAAATTCCATGGAAAATCTGATCTCTCTCACACTTCAGTATACTAACATTGAGTTTCTCCCTCCCACCTTCCTGACCTCCTAAAAGTGGCTGATGGCGGGTGAACCCTGCAGAAATCCTGCCTGAGCCCTGCGCACTGACACGGGTGGATTGGGGGAAATGGGCTTATCTCCTTACACAGAAAAAGGCAGGAAAAGCCTGCATGGGTCACTGGCACAAAAGTGCCGTCTCCCACGAGGCCGGCGGGGGTTTGGTGACTGCGGCTTGGAAAAACTGCGATGCAGGGTCCCGCTCACCAGGCCACGGCCCTTGGCAGCCGACAGACAAAATCGCACGTGTTGCCCACGGGAGCTGCCGAGCCAGCAGCCCCGGGTCGCTCTGCCCCGCCGGCGCGCTTCCCGTCGCAGCCGAGCGCGGGGGGACGGGACCCTGCTCCCGCGGCAGCCCACCGCCTCGGCCCGAGGACACGCTGGGGTTGAAGCCGACCTCCTCTGCCAGCCACAGGGATTTTTTTCCTGCGGTTCCCACGCGTGACCTCACAGACCCTAAGAAGGGGAGAAGGATGCTCTGGACCTGCAGAGAATGGCACAAGAGCAGCTGAAGCACCTCTGCTCAAAACCGACCAAGGCTCTGGAGCTGGGGGCAATCCCGGCTCCCCTTTTTCTCAGCGTGTATCTCAGGCGGCTGTGCTGCCAGCTCAGCATTTGGGATTTTTTTCCCTTTAAAATGTAGGGCTGCATAGTGTCCGGAAGACATCACTGTGGGCGAGGACAGGCAGAGCCCAGGCTCCCACCCTGCAGAGCTGCAGCTGCCTCCATCAACGGTGCCCAACAATCCCTTGCTGGGGTTTTTATCTCCTCTGCCAGCACAGGAGGGGCAGGCAGTAAACTTTCCCATCCCAGATTCAAAGATTCCCCTCTTGGTCCAAGGAATCCCTTGAAGGAGACACTGCCATGTCTTGGAAAGCAGACAGAAACCAGAAAATGGATCTGTTGCTTATTTCCAGATTCCTACCAATTGCAGTGAAGCTCCCACAGTCAGAAACAGCAGAACAGTTAATGAAAAGGGATTTTAAAAAATGAACCGCAATGCAAGATACTATTGAAGCCGAGAAGCTGGTACGATTCAAGGAAAAAGCAATATCTGCAGTTCTAACAGTTCAGATAATAGCTTCGAACATATACAGTCTTACTTCGTGCCAAAAACAATCACTGTTCACCTCGAGCAAAGAAGCGATCTCTCCCAGAGGCATTGCAGCAGAGCCTGGTCGCAGTTTCCAGTTGGCTGTGAGATTGGATGGACCACTCAACCCGGGACGGGGTGGAGATGCCGGGTACTGACAGGACCCTGGGCTGGAACAGCATCATTAAGTGATCGAGGCTTCACGCACCCACATGAGGACATTTGTTCTTGCAACTTTTATTTCTAACTTGTCTGCAGAGATGATGGGATGAGGGGTCTGCTGGTAGCCTGTCCTGTAAAGGTTGCAGACTTTCTCAGAGCATGCAAACACACGGGATGGGATGGGATGGGATGGGATGGGATGGGATGGGATGGGATGGGATGGGATGGGATGAGATGGTTCAGTTGGAGGGGACCTACAATGATTATCTGGTTCAACTGCCTGACCACTTCAGGGCTGACCAGAAGTTAGAGAGGCAGCATTCATTTCCAGCTGAAGGGCCAGCAGAAGGACAGAGCTTAACACTCAGTGTTTCGCATTCCATCTACAACTGTGATGTGGCAAATGGCAATAAACACAAACAAGCACGGGTTGCTTATTTGTTCTAAGATGCACTTGTGTGGGACACAGTACTCCAGCCCAACAAATGTGCTGAAGGTTTCTCCATCTTGTCTTTAACAGAGGTATGTAAAGATGGAGCCTTTCAGTATTGCTGATTTCCAGTGTACAGGACCCCCCAGATGCGTATCTAGAACAGCTACACAGAGCACAGAAAATGTCAGTGTATCTGCACTCCTCCCAAGAAAAAAAACCCTCAGGCTGCCCTCAAGTTGTGCCGTGTGGGTTTATAGCACCGAGGTCAGGGACAGCTCTGGGTTTATGCAGCCATCTAAATGATCTGTTGCATCGTGTATTAAATTGAGTTTTCTAGTACAGATAGGGGTCAGCGAAGCGGTTACTTTAAGTGAACTTTGTAGTTTCGCTTTGATGAGAGTCAAGATGGTAAAGCTCCCTTATCTCTTCTGGTTTTGGTATATCTCATCTTTCTCATATTATACTGCAGCAACAATAACATTAAGAGGCCTCTCTTCCTGTAGCCCAGATTAAAGACTGAAATAAAATCACGGTCACAGAGTGTTAAAGCAGGGAGAGAACCACGGGGGAGCAGTAACCTGCACTCACCTTGCTGTTGGTGTGTCCTAGGTGTGCACGGTTGGCCACTGCAGGTGACGGCCACCAGGTCAGCTGGACGGCGGCTGCGACCTCCGCTCATTCTGAAGTAGAAATACCTGGGTTCATTGAAGTAGACACTGTATTCTAGCAGGCAACAAGATCCCATGGGAAGGCCAGTTTAAGGCATTAATTGTTTCTTAATATTCTCAAACAAGTTCAGCCTGCTTTTCATTTTGATACACATTTAGCATAAGCATTTTGGAGCTTGTCTTCATTAGAACAAGACATCAAGAAAGGATGTGGGTAGTTAATCCCAATAAATGCATGCATAAGCCTTAGACCTCTACATTTTTCCCAGTAATTACAAACGCTTTTGGGGAATTCTGCCTATGTTAAGCATCGCTGTCACGCACAAGCTACAAGGGTCTGTTTCTCATCCCTCAGGTCCCGCGAGCCAAGGCCCTGTACACCTACCGCGGGCACAACCCCGGGGAGCTGAGGTTCAACAAGGGGGACATCATCGTGCTGCTCCGGCAGCTGGATGAGAACTGGTACCTGGGGGAGGTCAACGGCATCAGCGGCGTTTTCCCCGCCAGCTCCGTGCAAGTCATCAAGCACCTGCCCCTGCCAGCGCCGCTCGGCAGAGCGCTCTACAGCTTCGACCTGAGGAGCAGGGACAAGACCGACAGCAAGGACAGCCTGGCCTTTCACAAGGTAACACCACCCCACAGCAACCAGGGGCTCTTTTCTTCTTTAGACTGTGCGGTGTTCTGCTACTCCCCAGCTCCGCAGGAGCTCCCTTTGGAAACCAGTGAGGTTCCCAAGCCCCCCTCAGGCCCTGCTGCCAGCGGTTAAACCCCCTGACTGCCCCCCGGGCACACAGGGGTACGTGGAGGATGAGGGGTGTCCAGGGAGGGGTGCAAGCACCCGCCCCGAGCAGCGGCCGCAGTCGCTTGGCTCAGCTTCTCGCCCACGCTGCTGTCCATGAGGAGCGGCTCGTGGTGGTCGTCCACACTCAGGACCAAAACAAGGAGATGTCTAAAACTCACCCACTGACATAGTAAAGAAAATTGCTGCCAGGCCTGGGGAGACAGCATTTACGCAGCGTGAATGCACCCAGCCTACTGGAGGCACGCGTTTGCAGAGCGGTACCTGAACTTTTACTGTATTTTCCTTTATTCCCCAAAGGCTACAGACCTTGCGTTTACTCTGTTAGACAACACGCTCTTGAGTAGCTGCACCTCCCAGCAAAGTCAGCTGTCCCTGTAGTGACAAAATGAGGAGAGGCACGGCAGAGCAGAGCAGAAAGCGCTGCCCGGAGGCGTCGGTGTCCTCACAGAGGAGTCACCTCTTTCTCCGGCCGGCCGGCAGCACGGCTGCGATGCTCTCCTCGCTCTCACGGATGGGAAGAGGAGCCAGGAGGGGAAGGCCGTGGTCCAGGCCAGGTGTCCCCAGGGGTCAGAGCTGGATGTGGAGTGGCTAGCAAAGAGAAATCAAACAGCTGAGAGCCAGCGGTGGTTTCTAACTAAGGGGAGAAGCTAAAAGAGAAAAATCGGTTCAGAGCAGCATTGCATATCACTGGCAGCTCTATAAAACGTGGGCGCTCAGCTTCCTAGTGCAGATGCAGAGAAGCCAGGCAGCAATCCTCCCTTTGTCTTAGCAGGAGGCGCCTGCCTTGGTTTTCTGCTGTCTGTGTTCATTTGTTTTTTCTCTTTCACTCTATTTGCCTTGTTTCACGGCTTACTCATTCTGTTTATTTGCGTTAGGAAGCTGCGCTCATCTCCACTCCCACAGCAAAGTTCACACCTGGGGGGGGTGGCACACAGCTAAAACAAACAGACCCTTCTGCAAAGGGGCAAGAGCATCCTCCTGTCCCCCAGCTTTGGGACAGCGGTCGGTGGTTACCGTGCGAAATGACAAAGACTGGAGCGGTCACATCGGTCGCTCCCGTCGGCAGTAACCCCGAGGCAGTGCCAGCGCCGTGCCCTCCATAGCACAGGGCAGGGAATGGGAGAGTGCCATCTCTGCAAGCCACCGTGAAGAGATGGTTTATTCCCCCAGGAGCACGAGCAGGCGGGGGAAAACCTCAGCACAGGGGTGCCCGAGCCTTGGGTGGGTGATGCAGGAGTTGCATTTGTCCAGCACAGCCTGGCTTTAGACCAAAGTTCTGCTGCACGTAGCTTGATCTAGTTTTTTTGGTGTTTTTTTTTTTTTGTTTTTTTTTTTTGTTTTTTTTTCCAAAATACAAGCTGGCTGTAAACTAAACCCAACAAAACAGCCAGCTAACACACCCCAAGGCTGCCAGCGGCTTCGCAAGCAGCTCCTCAAACTCGGCATCGGGACGGGGCACCCCCACCCTTCGGCTTCGCCCCACCGCCCTGTGCCCTTGCCCTCCCTCGGGAGAAGGTGACAGTAATTTGGCAACAAACCCACCTGGAAATCAGTGCAGAGATTCACGTGCAATACCACACAGTGATCTGTTCTTATTCTGCAAGGCAGTCACCAGCAGATAAAGTTCAGACACACAGATGAAAGCCAAGAATCACTGACTGCAAGATTAACAGGGAATTTACACCCATTCAGATGCAAACTTTATGCACATATTCTGCACAGGAGTAAATGTTCTGGCCAGCAGGAAACAGCCTCCTCTGACTCCTTCACCCTTGGAGTCATTAAAATTTTAGCCCCAAACTTGTTGCATTAGTTCAGAAGAAAGAAACACATAAATTTGTTTCTGTAAAATTCTCCTTAGTCCCCCCACACATGTGGCAGATATCCTTAAAAAGATGAAATCTAAACATCTTAAAGTTGAACAAGGCTTAATTCTGCTGGGTTGCTCAGAAATGTAGCTATCGGTCAATACAAACTAGTTTTCCTTCGGAGTATTTCAAATACCCGCACTCCAGCAATGTCAGGTTATTTCAGCTCCTGAAACAGCGATCTGAGCTTCTCGGCAGCGTGACACCAATTACCTCAACACTTACGTAGGGGTTTTTTCACTTGGTTCATGGCTAAAAATGCCATTTTCATTATTAGCTGTGTGCGTGGCAATTACAGAGGCATTTCCACGCGATGGAAACCGCCCAGCAAGTCAAAGGCTTTTCATGTCCTCGCCCTCAGACTTGTGTCCACGGTCCCGACTCAGCCACGCTCGCAGCTTTCAATTAAAAGCAAGTTTGCGCGTTGTGCTGCGGAAGGGCAGAAGCCATGCCAAGGGCTGGACGGGGCCCGGCTGGCTACTGGGGCCACCCCCCACCCCGGGGACCCGGAGGGCTCAGCACCTTCGGGGTGACAGTGCCAGCGTCCTCGGCGGGCTGGTGGCAGCAGGGGCGCGTGCGGTGACAAAGCAGGGAGCTCCCCAGCTCGTGTGCGGAGGGGGTGCAGCCCCTGCCCCCCCCAACACCGGGCACCCGGGGGCACAGCCCTCCTCTCACCCCTGCAGACAGCGAGCAAACAGCTCTCCCCCCCTCCCATGCTGGAATGAAGCCTCCGCAACAAGAGGGAAAAAAAAAAAAAAAAAAAAAAAAATGGGGGCAAAAATGCAAAATTCAAATGTCAAAACTGCATTTTGAACGGGTTCTGCTGTAATCGGCTCTCGTGTAGCTGTTTGCTGCGGGATCTGCCCCGTGAGCCCCCCAGCCACTGTGTGGGGCTGCAGGGGGGGGCTGGCTGGTCACGGTGGCCCCCAGCCCCCCCAGTGCCAGCTCAGCGCGTCGCAGGCGGCGCTCCCAGTGCTCCCGGCGCTCCCGAGCCCTTTATGCTGCCCGCTCCCCAACGGTATTTTGTTAGCACTGGTCTAGACACTAATTGTATTCCTGCAGTTTAGCTTGAGATGCAGGGTGTAAATGGCACCAAGAAGAATTCCTAGAAATAAAATTAATACTTGTAATCATCATAATTACAGCAAGCACTTCTTTGTGGCTATTTTATAAAAGGACACCAGTAAAACATCTTATTTGAAACTCTAATATATTTTGTAAAATGTCTTTTCATTTAATGAAATCATTTTAGCTTCAGCAATTACTTATTTAAGTCTGACGTTAACAGAAAAAAGTTAGTTAGGGTCACATGAAGCCACCAAGGAATTAGAAATTAATTATGGAGAAGGCAAATGTAGGGCTGTTGTGGGAGATGCAAGGCTTTTCTTTGCTTTGACACTCAGGCCTGTGCCCCATTTTATCACATCTCCTGGTGTTTAGAGAAGGCAGAAAAATGTTTCCAGTTCAGGCTAACCTTTAATTACATATGGAAATTACAATATTGCCATCTTATCTGTGCACATATGCACACACTATGGTTTTTAAACCTTGCTTTAAGGAGTGGGGAGTAAGGAAATGTGAAAATGACCCCTGCTTTAAAATGACAATGCTTGAAAGACACCTGTACCCCTCCTGCGTTAGAGTCATCCTTGTTCATCCCGGGACTCAGGCACATTGCCTCACATGAGTGGGTGAGAATCTCAAAGTTTTGCAATTCGTTAATGTCAGCAGTAAATCATGATTAATTCCTCTGGCAGTCATCGTGGTAAAAAACATTGTCACCACATGCCCTTTGCTATTAATACTGTGTGATCAGCAGTTTCCAAGAAATACTGTTTGAACATTGCCCATATGCAAACTCGGGGCCTGACTCTTCCCTCATTAACCCCAATGGTTAACAAGGCAGGCTTTCTTCGGTGGGAGCAGGACCCAGCCATGAGAGTTTAGGCTTAGAGATATAACTGGGTGGATCTAACTCTGCTGGGAAAGCCACCATCCGTGAGGCCTTCTCCACACTCCTGCCTTAAAGTTGGCTGCAGGGTTTTGACCGAGACGCACCCAAGCGTGCCAGAATGAAGTGGAAAAGGGAGATGTGCCCAAACGTCCCTTCTAATTTAGAGTTAAATTTATTATAGCACTGCTAGAGTCAGCCAGCTCTCCTTACACCCCTGCCAGCCAAAGGCTTTGACAGGAAACAAAGCTTTCTGTAAAGTACTGGGGGAGCACTCAGCCTCAGTAACGTGTTGTCTAAGCAGCAAGTTTTTCAAACCCATGTTAATTTTGCTGTCAGCTTTGCATCAGTGATTTTGCATCTGGGCTTTGTCACTGAAAACATATCAGGGAAATGACTGAGCCACAAGTTTTCAAAGATCACCTGTAACGTCATCTGAAATCTGCCCACAGCTCCGCTGCCAGAGAGGAAAAGAGAGGAAAAAGGGAAAACTGAGCAGTCGCTGTGCTGTGCAGACGTAACTTCTGAAACGTGCCATCACATCTCCCTTTGTCTCTTCCAGCCAAACACCACTGCAAGGCAACTCCTGCAGACCAGCAAAAGCCACTGGTCCCCCCAGTTCAAGTGCGCGTCCCTACGGACAGCGTCTCCCAAGGCCAAGGGCGCGGATTCGCCGGCTTTCCCCAAGGTGCCCGACTCCAGGCGGAAGAGCCTGCGGCCGTTCTCCATCACCACCGCCCTGAACACCCTCAACCGGATGGTCCACGCGCCCGCCGAGCGCCCGGCGCTGGAGATCAGCTCCCCCGTGCTCATCAGCTCCAGCAACCCCACCGTGGCCACCCAGAGCAGCGAGAAAGCGGAGTTCCCCTACGGCACCCCTCTCCAGGTGAGGCAGCGGCGGCGCGGGCGCTCTAGGAGCGGCGCGAGTCCGAAACGCAAATCCTGGGTAGAAACACCCGGCGCGCAGGCAGCCGTTCGAAAAGCTGAAGCACAAACAAAACACAAAGTCTATCTCTGTGATCTCAACTATGGTACAAACGTGCAAAGACAAAGCACCCATGCTAATAGCGTCAGTAAGATATATATCATCCACATCAGGCTGCCCGGGATTTTTTTTCCCCTCCTTTTGCATTGGAAAAGCCTGTCTTCAGAGTTGAGGGACCCAGGGGAATTCATAAAAAGAGAAATTAAATTATCAGAGCAACTAAAGGTGGACAGAGCACATTCCCGTCCTGATTTCTGCCCTACTGCAGTAAGCTCCAGGTGTAGAACAGAAAACAGAGAGCTTAACTTGCAAAATAAAATATTTTTCATTTTAGAAAGGAGTAAGGAACATGAATTCCCAAGGGAGCTGAGTGAGCCTCAGCTCACTCGCAGACATGCACGTGTGTGTGCGCCTGGATTCACACTGCAAGCAAACAGCTGGTTTGCCATGTAACGATGCAGATCGGCGATAGGCAGTTCTCAGCACTTGCAAAATTAAAGCGAAAACCAGAAACCAGCCATTGGCCGCTCTCACCTGCATTCCTGTGGCAATGAGCCTTCCTGAGCTCCTCTCACAGAATTAAGTTGCACCAGCATGGTAGGACCTGCAGAATCAGGCCCTGAATTATGAGCAAATAAAAGCGCAGTGAGGAAGCTGCACTGTAGTGAGCAGGTCTGTACCGCCAGTGATTGCTTTAATGGCCCTTTCATCTAACGCCCATGCCTAAAAGGAAAGTAGAAGCCTGCGCTTTCTATTAATTGTTGTTTCAGTTTTTTCTGGTAATTCTCAAGCGTACAAGGAGCACCCAGCATGCCCAGTTCACAGCCCCAGTGATAGCATTGGGCTTAATCAAAAAAATGTGATTAAGCCCAAAATCTCAGCGCCGGAGACGACGTGGTTGGGTATCTCTAAACACAACCTTTGCTCTGCCCGCCGGGGCAGGCGCAGGCGTCGCGGAAGCCCGGGGCTCCGTTACCGTCCCTACTCCACAAAGTTTTCTCCGAAGGGACGCTGCCCACAGGACAGGCTCCCCCACAGAGAGCCAGTTCAGCACTGTCATAGCACCGACAGAAATAACGAAGAAGCCTCCTGCTCCTTCTAACCGGGGCTGTGAGCCCTGGGAAATAGCAACCAGGGTCTTTGCCCTGGCGTAAATCAGTCCTCTGCCGGCATCTATCCACGGGCCAGAGGAAGGGTTTCTGCCAGGGGACAGCAGTTACCCGCAGTCCTTGCCAGGCTGCAGTCTAAACCGGGCACTATGCTGAGAGAAGCTGAATTTGGGGCTGAGGTAATAAATGCAGACTGACCTTTTGGACTACACCCGCTCTTTATTTTAGGAGACAACAGAGTCTCATTCCTTCTTCACACTCTGACTAAGGATCTCAATACAGAATCTTCACAGATCATCTGAAATGGGAGAAAAAAGGTTTTGTTTAGATTTATATTACTTCTTTCATATTCAAGGTTGCTCTAACGTTTTATAAAGCAATAAGCCAGCCCCTGGTAGTTCAGTATCTGTGCAATAAAACCCAGCAGGCATTTTGTACTTAGCAATAGCCTGCAAAGAGCCTTGGCTGTTAGAGCCTGTTTTATGTGAGAGGAAATGAAGCCTTACAATAGAACTATAATTCAATTGAAATGGTATCATGTCTCACGAACCCAATATAATTTTACCAAAAATGTCTCAGTGTGAACTATTGTCAACAGCAGAAGCAACAGAGTGAGCGTGTTAACATTTTGCCTTAGAAGGGTTGGAATTTCCTTTCTTCTAAACAACAGTTTTGCTCCCGGAGGCTTGCAGGAGGATCTGTGTTGCTCATGGGGCCACACAGGTTGCAGCTTTTCCTTTTTCCATCTCTGGGTTTGGGTTGCGATGACTGACCTGCAAAGTTGAGATCTTTTGCAAGCCCAGATACGCACTGCCAGGCTGGCCCAGGTTGGCCATATCCCACTGAGGTCGCATGTCCTTTTTCCTAGTATTAATCAGGTGGAAAAGATGCCGGAGAGAATTTGTTGATAAGGCAGCCCTCATGATCAGAACAAAGTTGCAGGATTGAGGAGTAATGGGAGAGATGAGAGCTGATGCTGATCCTGAGGGTTGGTCTATGTCGCTCAGCAGCTTCTGGTGGAAGTTCAGCCTCGACAGTAAACACTGAGACTTTGGAAAAACAGCAGCACATCTCCAAAAGCGTGGTTGTTCCATGGCAATTAATTTTATACACACAGCATTACCTGGAAGGAAAAGATCTGTGTTTCTCGGGTTTAAACTACTCCAGATAAAACAGAAGTTCGGAAGCAATGAAGAGTTGCATGCCTACTGCGAGGCCTGAAAACTCAGAGCCGGAGTACAAGTATCAAGCTGGGGTCTTCTGTTATTAGTATATAGTATATATATATTCCAATATAGTAAAGAAAAGAGTGGGTTGAATCACATCCTTAATTGCTTCCGTGCGTTTTCGTGCTCCCTAGTGAGTCTGCAGAGGTTGAGTAGCCTGGATCTTTGTGGGCGGTCACAGATTTGGCGCAGCAGATGGAGCTGAGCCTACAGCTCGGCTCAGCCGCTCCGGCTCCGGCGGGAGATCGCCGAGGCGCTGAGTCAGCACGCACGGCATGGCACGGCTGCTCCAACCGCCCCGGAGCCAGCCCAGGCACCGCGGCCTCGCGGGGGGGAACTGCTGGGACCTGGGGGGGAAGACCAAACAGTTCCTGAGGACGAAGGAGGTGAGGCTTTAACCCCGGAGGTGAGAATTGTGTCCCAGGAGACCCTAGCCCAGGGCAGATGAGCTCAGCTGGCAGGCAACACGGGGCAGGCTGGGCAAGGCAGGGTGGGAGGTGCCCCCCACCACCAAGCAGGGGATGGTGAGGAGGGAGCAGGCACCAGCCCAAGATGGCAAGCGGTGGGCGAAGCCGCGGGGGGGCTCGGGGGTGAACCAGAGGCAGAAGGAACACACACCTCAGCGTCTACCCTCCCCACAAAGCCCAGAGAGGTCAGAGCAGCCCCAGCCCCCTGGGTCCGCACCCCAACACTGGAGCCTTCCTCCCTCTGCAAGAGGAACTGGCCCAGCAGCACACCCGTCCCTCCACGGAGGGCTCGGAGGGGCTTTTGTCCTTTCAGACAGTGGCCCAGTTTCATTCCCTGTCTGAGATAAGGCTGTAGAGCCCCATGAGAGCAACTGGCAGGAAAGGAGCTGCACCACAACCAGGTTTGACACAGCCAGGCTTCAGATTGCAAAGCAAGGGGGGCATTAGCCGTCACTCGGGGATGGGGCAGCAGAGCTGCCTGAGTGGTCAAACTGGAAACCAAGTGACCCTGTTACTACCAGAGCCTTTAAATCCCTCTCCTCTGCACGGGCAGGCTTCCAGATATCAAATAAACACTTGGATCTGGTAATTTAAAAAAAAAAAAAAAAAAAAAAAAAGACAAAAAAAAAAAAGAAAAACAAACCTGCATTTGGAATGGATATGCTCATTGCTTGCTTTGGCCTGGGGGTTAAAGAAAAGTTGGAGTTTTCCAGTACCTTGTAGTTACCTGACGCCTTCCCTAAGCTATGAGACTACATGCATTTGAGGGAGACCAAGCGCTCCGAAGCCCCCCGCGTGTGACACGTCCCCCGGCAGCGTCCCCCCCGCGGCGGTGCGGGCGGGCTGCACGAGGAGCAGAGCTGACGAGGCTGGCGGGTGTTCGCAGGGCTGCCCAGGGCACCGTGTGCCACCGCCAAGGATCGGGTCGGCCGCCTTTCGGCCCACGAAAGGGAATGCAGTGCCGCCAGCCCACCTCCTGCTCTTCCTCCCCGCCTTGGTGGGGCCGAGCCGGGCTCAGGCGGGAGCCAGAACCAGTTTGCAGGGCTTGTGCCACCGTGTCTGTGCATGTGGCTGTTGTGCAAGCAGGTCGGGGCGAGGGGAGCGCAAAGCACCGGCCACTGCACCGATCCCTCCCCGGCCCCGACGGGGCTTATTCCCCCGGGCCGGCGGCACTGGGGTCAGGAAACATCTGCCTGAGAGCTGCTGCCCCGCTTTGCCGCCCGTTAAAGCGAGTTGATAAACCCAACATCTGCCGTCTGGGGCACTTGGCTTTTCTGTGTAATAAATGATGTGGAACTTGCAGGGCAAAACTTGCAGTAGCACCAAGAGCACCGACTGCCCTGCAAGGGAATGGGGAAAATCCCCCTGCCCCGAAGGCAGCACCCAAGCCCTCTCCCCTGTGCAGCACGCTGGCAACGAGCGAGAGGGAGATGGAACAAGAGAGGGATTTAAGGAGAGGAAGGAAATGAAACTCTGTACTTACAAGGGCTTGAAAAGTACTCACAGAAGATCGGCAAAAACGAATGCTGAAATCAATTATATGTGGCTGGAAAATAGTTAATTCAATCTTTTTTCCTCTCTGTTGAAAATACAAAACCAGCTCTGATGCAGGCTCTGAAAGGATCGCTGCTTCCATGCAGAGCAGGAATAGAGAGAGATGAAAAACATTAAGCTTTCCATCTAGAAATGGACATTTCAACACAGTTCCATCAGGAAAACCGGCAAAAGATTGTCATTTTGCTCCAATGCAGAAAAAAGAAACTCCAAATCCCCAAATTTCAAAGGTTTGGATTATGAAAATTGTTAAAACAGAACTATAATTTCCAATCAAGTTTATTTATATGAGATCCTGGTCTGACCCTACCTGGACTAGAAAATGAGGAATGCACAGAGGGTTTGAAGCTGACCTGCCACTCCAGGTCTAGAGACAGAAACTAAAGTTGCTGGGGTTTTTTAATTAACTTAATTTACTAGAGAGCAACAGACCTGGTGAGTCACTTTTTTTTTTTTCCCTAGGTCCTTGCTAAGCCATTGCCCCAGCACCACGTTACAGAGACGACCACTAGAAATTAGATTTGAAAGGAATAAGAGTTTAAAGCCGTGACAACTTGCATCACTAAAGGTCCCGTGGCCTTTGCTGGGGAGCACGACTGCCAGCCACAGCCCAGCCCCACTTTCCGCTGGCCTGACCCTCCCCGGGGACGCTGCAGCCTCCCCACCTTGCTGGGAACTTGGTTTTTGCCCCCACCAGCAGCTGCCCTCCTGCCACGGCACAACACGGCGAACGCCTTCCCGCGTGCCGGCACCGAGTTTCCGATGGGGAGGGACTGCTTGCCCTTTGTGCTTTCGAAGGGACAGCTCAGGGGAAGAGCGTGTCCTGAGGATGCTGGGCTGCACGCTGCCATCCTTTCCTCCAAACCCCTGTGCGAGCGGGCCGGCGGGCTGCTGAGCACACCCCTTCCCTCAGCACCTCGGCCCCGGGGCCCACCGTGCTGCCAACAAGCTGAAAAGCAAAGGTAGAAACCAAACGGGCGAGGAGGAGCGAGCACGGGTCGGTAACTCGTGCCTTCCTGAGCCGGGCTCAGCACCACCGCTTGTCCTCACCCTTTTCAGAGCGGTGAGAAGGTGGCAGAGGGACACCCCGAGGACACCATCCAGGCAGCGCGGCTCCCTCCGAGCCCTGCGATAGACCCCGGCCCTCCCAGCTGTGATGCAGAGATAACAAACCCCCCCCCCCCAGCCTCCCCGGGGCCGGAGGGACCTTGGCAATCTGCTCACGCTGGCGAAGGCCGTGGCGAGCCTCCGAAGCGCGGCGGTGCAGAAGCGCAGGGTGCTCCAGCCATGGCTCCACGTAAACAAGGCAGCCAGCTGGGACCGGGCAAAAAAAAAGTTCAGCTTCAATTGTTGTGATTCTGCTATTTGAAAAATAGCTGGGCTTTCACGTGAAAGGGACCGGGTCTACCTTGCCTAGAAAATTCTCAGTTTTCATTGAAAGACCTTGCACTCAGACTGCTACACAAGTTTGCAACCAGCAAGGACAATATTCCAGCAGCATCCAGCCCGGCTCCTGCTCAGATAACCCTCCCGCATCGCAGGTCTCCTGGCCGGGGAGAGATGCCAACACGTGGCGCAGGAGACGTGGCCCCAGCAGAAGGGAGAGGAGCAGAGGAGACACTTCGACCTACACCTCTGCCAAGCACTTCAGTATCATTTCTTAGAGGAAGCACTTTGTATAGTTGACCAATATACTTTAGAGGGTGTTATCTGCAGGTTCTTCAGATGTTTTCAGAAAAGGATTAACACCTCCCATATCTAAGAGCTTTAGCAGTGACTTTTTACCATTCATTCAATCAGCCAGCTATGAAATGCTAACCCACCTTGCACCAGCAACCAAGTGAAACATCTCCACATCTTGTTCTTGGCATCTGGAAGCTTCCTCCAACCTGCAGAGTACACTGGAGATGGAGGTGCAGAGTTTATCAGCCTCAGAGAGGTCACCCTATTTACCCCCCCATCTGCAGGGGATGTGAGCAGGACTGCTCTTACTTGAGAAGCTGGCAATTGTAGAAGTTTCTTCTGTTCTTTCTACTGGATGGCCATCGAGCCGCATCTCCTCTCAGTCCCCTCACAGAGGTGAAGCCCCTGCAGAGATCAGTGCCGTGCAGGGGGGCACGGCTGCCCGTGGTGGGACGGCGCTGGAGCCCAGCGAGCACAGAGGACACATAACTGAAGCCAAACTCCGAAGAAGAACTGAAACACCCCGCAGGCAGGTCCTGGGGCAACGTCCAGATGCTCAGCGGGACACCAGGCAGAGGACACCCAGCGCCGCACGCCTCGCCTCAGAACCACCCCCCCCGAGCGGGCGGGCGCCGGGACGCGGGGGGGGACAGGGGAAGGGGGGCAGCCCAGCACGCTGCCCGTGTCCCCACAGCGGGGGTCCCAGGAGTCATCTCCTCCCCTTCGGCAGGCGCAGCAGGGACGGGCGCTCGCCCACGGCAGCGGCGGGTCTGGCACGGCGCGTTCAGGGCGCGCAACTCCCTTGACAGCAGCGACGGGGCTGAGGTTCCTCCCTGGAACACGAGGAGACCCCTGCGAGAGGACGGAGGGGGCGGGAGGGTGGCTGGTGCCTCTCTGTCAATGACAAGTGCCGGTGAGGAACGGGCCACCCCGAACCAAACGCAGACCCGAGCGAGGAGCTGCGGCTGACGCCCGCTCTGCGCTGCGTGTACGCACGGGCCTCTGGAGCTCCTCGGGATGCCGCAGAGGCGGTAAACACCTTTAATAATAGTTATTAAAAGATCAGTGGGGCAAGGACTGTATTATTTAGGGTTTAGACAATGCCAATACTCCCAGCTGGAGCTAAATAAATAACAAGTGAAACAGCAATGATTACACGAGTCCTCACCTGGCAGACGCGACGGTCTCCTCCTGGTTAGCAAAGTCTGGGCTTGAAATGCTGTTTTCCCAAACTCCTTTTTTTCCTTCCTGAAGCAGGCACAGAGACAGAGAAAAACAAAAGTAGTCGCCCTGTTCGGAGCCAACTGAAAAGGGGTGAGAAAACACTGAGAGCAGGGAGCGGGGCGAAGGAGCGTCTGCCCGCGCGAGTGGATCTCGTACACGAGATCAGCAACAATTGCAAGTTCGGGGCTCAGAATTAACTCTCAGAGGTCACGGCTGTTAGGTGAGGTTTAGTCCGTTTCATCGCTGCTCTGGGAGCCCCCTCGCACTCCCGGTTAGCTGTCCCAACAAGTTCCTTAGTTACAGGAGAGAAGCACCATCAGTCCAACCGAGCCATACCCTGGGAAGCGTCCCAGTGTTGAAGTGAAGGGGCCACGAGTCTTCCTCTTGCTGCCTGGTCTTTTTTTTGGTCAAACACTCCAAACTCTTCTTTCTCCTGAAACATCTTTGGATTTGGGGTTTTTTTGAAGGGTGGGTGAAGCCTGTCAAATGTTTCTAGCTGCTCTTCCAGTGGCTAAAATAAGCCTATATCCAGATTAATGTTTTGTTCTCTGCTTTCTTTCTCCCTGTAGGTCAGTGCCTCTTACTATCCTGTGCCAGGATCGCTGGGGCACTCAGCAGCCATTGTCACTCTTCCCCATCTGCAGCACCACATATCGGCTTATATGTACGTATGGAAACTGAAATGCATTGCGGGAAAGGGGGGGTTGTTGTGTAATTTTCTGTTGTGTAATTTTCTGTACCTTCACCTGAGGCTTATCCAGCCAAAGGTTCTGGAGAGCTGGGAGGTAAAGGCTGACCAGTGTGCAGCTCCCCTGTGCTCGGGTCCAAGTGCAGATCCACGTAGGAATGTACTTGGCTGGTCTAAGCAAGAGGTCACAGAGACTTAGTGTTACTGTTGAATTATTATATTCCCAGCAGGTGAACTGTCCTTGCACCTTACTACCTTACTTCAGTATTTACAGATATATAGTTCTGCCTATTTGTCAACAATACATTTTAAATTTTTTCAATATAAAGAAACTAATTACTCCTTAGTTGTCTCTATTTTAAAACAGTAAAGGTCATTGGTGTTTTGACTGATCCAATCTTTTAAAACTTTCCCAGAGTTAAAATTTGCAGATAATACATTGTGATGATTTGTTTTCCTCCAGATAAGATTCATCAGCCTGGCACTGCAGTAAGCTACCTAATAACAACAGGCTAGCAACAAGCTCCCTACATGGTCATTAGCACCTCCACAGTACCGAGCCAGCCCTGTGGGAACATTGGGACACATGAGCACTATCTATAAATTTGTGCTGCGCTCATGATGTTTGCTACTTCCATGCATTAGCATAGGCCATCCAAGACTATTGCACACACTTAATCCTGAGCACGAGAAAAACCCCTAAAACCTTAAAATGATTTGCAGAATGATGATTGTATTAATCAGCTGCCTGGTTTGCACAGCTCCTTTTTTCAACCCAGCAATATCAAACCAGTATCCGCATGTCCTGTTCTCCAAGATGAAGCCCGTATAAAGTGATTAACCACTGCAGAATTAGAACAGCCTTTCGCTGAGCCCTGCCCGGTCTGGGCAAGTAACAGAAGGAGAAGTCACTTTGTAAAGACGGGTGTTTCAAGTCAAACTTTCAAGTGACTGTTCTGAACAACAGAGAGAGAGAAACCTTTCTAAAAATTATGGGATAGTCCTTAACTATCTAGACAACCAGTCTGTTGTTTCTGGTTTTTAAATAATATCTGATAATTGCTGTATTGGTCTGTAGCTCATTAATATTTGGGAGCAGACCACATTCCCCTTGGAAAAAAACAGCAGTACAATTAAATTAAATGTGTTACACTGGAGACAACTGAAAGTTCTTTAAAGAACAAATAGGGGAAAGTTTTGAAATATATGCCATTTTCTTTTGCTCCTGCTTTTCTGCGTGGTCACCCCCCGTGGCTCGCTCTGGAGAACAAAGCTTCACCACCTGCTCGTAGTCCCAGAATCACAACAGAGCGGTCTAGAGGGGATTGCAAATTACCTCCTAGTCGGGTTTCCTCGCTGGCCCGGGGCAGAGCCGTGCACCTCCTCCTTTGCCCAGGACATTCTCGATGCGCGCAGTGGCAGCGGCTGAATGTCTCCGGGGGTCAGGGTGCCGGAGGGCGAGGGAAGGGGGGGGGAAGGGGGGCTGGGGCGCGTTGCTGGAGGAGCAGTGCTCCCCCCTGCACACCTCCAGGCGATGCTCGGGGCAAGGCCCCCGACCCACCCGTGCTTCAAAGTTGGGATGTGTTCTTGATGCTACCGCTCGCACCGAGCAGCGTCCCTGCTCCCTTTCGTGCTGCTTTGCCCTAGGACAGGTACCCCTTAGCCCTTCCTCGGTTATTTCGGGAGCCCTCACTGCGTGAGGTGGGGAGCAGCAGCTTTCTCCTCCCTGACTCCCGGTGCCCTTGGCTGGCTCTTCTGGGACAGAAACCGTGGACGGGATAGGCTTTGTGCCCCCATTCCTGTTGGCTCTGCTTTTATGCACACCCCCTCCGTCCTGAAGCCACAGGCAGCATCTCCCCTGGGAGTTCTGGCCACGCTAACGGCAGCACCCAAATATTTGATGGGAGTGCTGGCTGAAGAGGCTTCAGGCGAACAGCCACGGCTCACCCACCGCCGGCAGCATCAGTTCTGCAGCACGGCCACAGCCAGGAGGTCCGGGGTGCGCTGCGGCCAGCCCACGCAGGGCAGGTTCTGCCTCACCCCCCCTTCTCCCCAGGTGCGTGGCTCTCCATTCCTACGTGGCTCACGGACCGGAGGAGCTGGAGCTGCAGAAGGGAGAAGGGGTCCGCGTCTTTGGGAAAGACCACGACGGCTGGCTGCGGGGCATGTCCCTCGTCACGGGGAGAGTGGGGATCTTCCCCAGCAACTACGTCGCTCCCCTCTTCAGGTTTGATTTTTCTTACGTGAAACAAAAGCATGCAGAGAGAGGAGCGGGTAGCGCGTAGGATTTTGGGGTCTTCTCGTCCCTGGGCAGGATGGCACCTGGCAGCTCTCACTCATTTATTTCTCACGTACGGACGCGGCTGCGTCCCAGCAGCAGGGAGCAGCCAGGAGCGGGGGGGCCGGCAGCGTCCCCTCGGAGGGGGCACACGGTCGGACGAGCCAACAGCGCAACGTCAGCCTCCGTCCGCGTGTTTTAAACCTGGCGTGTCAGCAGAGGCACCAGCAGCTTCTCCCATACCTGTTTAATTCAGCCCAGGAGCTTTGGCAGAGACCCGTAGGTGACACAACCAGCACATTTTGGGGAGTTAGTCTGGGAGCCAGGGTGAACAGCAGCGTGTCTGTGCTTGGGCTCGCCTCTATCCCTTTTGGATGACTCTGGGTTTATTTTTTTTGTTTTGTTTTGTTTTGGTTTTTTTCCATGCCAGAAGGGAAACCACAAGCTGAAGGCTCTTTTAGAGTCAAAATACTGTCTTTAGAGAAGGCATTTAAGCACTGGACGCCATTGATCTAACTAAACAAACATGCATTAGAAAGAGCAATAATTAAAAAAATACAATTTAGGAAAGAAAAAAAAATGCCTGTGCCCTTAGTTGCCCTGATATATGCTCAGGTCAGGCAAAGAAACGAAGAACAGCTTCAACATGTAGTGCTCTGTTTCTGCAAATAGGAAGTGGGGATAAGTCAGGACACCTCTCCCAGGACTGTGACACCTGGAGCCGGGTCTCCAGCCCTGGAAACTCGCCGCAATGGTCCAGCCCCGTCTGCAGGAGCGGGGCCGGGCGGGTGCAGGGAGCTCTGCTCGGCGGGACAGCAACGGCTGCACCCGGGGCCACCTCAGCCTCTATCTCCCTGAAAGCCTTCTACCGACACACCAAAAATTCACCTTACACTCCCAGATCCTCCCAACGATATTTGGTTTCTCCTCCCGCCACCATTTGGTTTCTCCCCACCCTGCTTTTCCTTCCCTGCTTATATTTCACTCTGCCAGATCGCTCCGTTCAGGCCAGAGGTCCCAGTGATGCTTTAAGCCCAACTTTGCCCTCCCTTGCCCCCTCCCTGCATACAGAAGCTCTGGTGATTAGTCTTCATCTCTCCAGATTATCTCTTCACCGCGTAGCCTCCAATAACACTGCGGCCCCACCTCACCGATAAACAGAACAAACAAATAACCAAGAGTGCAGTCCAGTCACCCTAAATAGCCTCATAAAGTGCTTCAACCATAAGCACTGCCTTTGGAGCTGCTATTCTATCCTCCTCAGGAAATTTCTTCGTAACAAATTGATGCCTGAGTTATTCGATGAATCACTGCTCAGTTATTAAACCATAAATCATTCCTCCACCCCCCCAAAAAAAGGTAAAGAAGAATCAGAGGAATGGGGTTTTTTTACTCCTCTGAGGAGTTAGCAAAGGGACTTGGTGGCCCACTCTCTCAAGGAGTTTGGAGCGATGTTTGGCCGGTGTGCTGGTGGGGACGGCTGACGGGTTTTTTGGCAGTTCAGTGGCTTCAGGTGAAAGGCTGAAGATGTCATCTCTAGGGCAGGCAGGGGAGGAGGATGTTCTGCAGTAGCTGCTGTGCACCCGAGAGCTGCCCAAAGGGCGGAGGGGAAGAGCCAGGAGCACCCGTACAGCCTCTGCCCGGTCCTTAGGGTCCTGCCCTGCCCCTGCACCGAGCAGAGCCTCGCACGGCTCCGGCTCAAGGTGCCACCCAGCACCACGCAGGGAAGTTGGAGATTACGCGGGCTCGCTTTGGCTTCCAAACAAACCCAGCCCGGTCGCATCACGCGGGATCCTTGGATCACCCCGAGACGAGGGGGGAGAGGAGCCACTCGCCCCGTGAGCAGCACATGCTCCCAACAGCACCGCGGTGGCCCCTGAGCCCCCGACACCAACACCGGGAGCTGCAGGCGGAGAGCGGAGCGGGAGGAGCACAAGCAGCCCCGACGTTACCCAGCGCGGGGAGCGGGGCGAGCCCGGCTCGGCACGGGGTGGGAGCAGCTCCGGGGGGATTGCAGAGGGAGGGCTGGTGTCCAGGGGTCCCTGGGGAAACGCCACGGGGTCACTGTAAGGAATTCTAACCCTAAATAGAATGGTTTCTTACAAACCACGTGCAGAAAGATGAAATGGAATCAGAAACCTGAACTATCTGCACTGTCCATGGCGCCTCCCACCAAAGCCCTGACCTGGGAGCAGTGCGGGCACATTAAAACCATTGAGTTCCCCTTCGGGCAAACTCCTGCTTCCCTTACAAAACCGCAAGCCTAGCCCCGGCTTATTTTCTTTTGTTTCAAACAGGAAAACTAATCTCTCTGACTCGAAGATGCCTTCCCTGTACGCCTCATGGACGCTGTCGACCTCCTCGCTCTCCTCTCAAGGGAGCATCTCAGAAAACGGCCCGAGACAGAGCAGACCCTTGAACCCGGCGCTGCTGCCCGTGCCCGTCCCCTCGCCCGGGAGGAGCGCGGTGGCCGCGGGACAGGCATCGCTGCGGCGCGGACGCGGCAGCACGAGGAAGAGTAAGTGCTGCCAGGGGGAGTCTCCGTGGGGGCAGAAACCAGGCGCATCCCCCCCCCCCCCCCCCCCAAAACCATAGTATCTGTAATTAGCACTGGAGTCATAAAGAAAGGAAGCGAGCGCTGCCGGGAGAAGGTCAGCTCCCAAAAGGTCCCTGCCAGGGCCGGGCTCCTGCGTCAGGCTGAGCACGCTGCGAGCGCAGAGCGGTGGGTGCTCCCCGGGGCACCCCGGGGACCTCCGCGAGCTGGGGGTCGGGCGGCCCCGGCTGTGCGGACACGGAGTGACCGCGCTGTCACCCCGCTGCGTCCCCCTGGGGAAGGGTCTCCCCGAGGGGTCTCGCTGCAGCCGGGCGGCAGCGCCGAGGGCAGGTCGCCTTATCCCACCGCTGGGCAAGGGGCTGCCCACGCGAGTTAGTAGGCTGAGCACAGCAAAGCCTGCCACCACCTCTGTGGATTAACGCTCCAGGTTGGCAGGGGACGGGGTGGGGGGATGCCCGTGGGGGTTAATCCCCTGCAAAGGCAGAAGGGACAAGCTGGGGGTGATGCCAGGGGCCGTACTGACCGGTACCACACCGTGCTGGAGCCTGGCACCGCTCGCTTCGGGGGAGCCCTGTCCTCAACAGGCGCAGGAACGCAGCTCAAAACATGCTGGTTAGCCAAAAGTGTTTAAACAACAGAATGAAGGAGGCCATTAGACATAAAAGTGTCAAACAAAGAAAATTAAATACAAACTCCATCAAGTTAAACGTGATCGGTACTAAGTATTATCAGACTCTAACAGGGACTTCTGCTGTGATCTTGGAAAATGCAAATCAGCAAATCCAACCTTCGAAATCCACAACACCCAGCAACAGGGCACTAAACGGTAGTTGAAACGTCAATACATAGATACAGGGAGAAATAAGCCCTAATTATACACACATAACCTTGGGCCCTAAATTAGCTTTTGTCACTCTGGAGAGACGTTTTGGGATTGTCACAGACAGCTCTTTGAGAGCTCCAACTCCATGCTCAGAGGCAATTTTAAAAAAGGTTAATTTAGAGTATTATTAGGAATTATTAAGAAAGCAACTCAGAACAAGAGAGTAAACTCAGCTCTGCTATAGGGGGGGTTCTGGCAAACTCAACCTGAATACTTCACATATTTCTGGCAACTCAAAAAGATTATAATAACATCAGGGAAAGTATGCAGAAGGATGATCAAGAGACTAGAACAACTTCTATTTCAAGAGAAAAAATATTCAGCTTGGAAATATCCAAGATGCATAAAATCATGAATAGCCTGAAGGTGAGAAAGGATACTTCACCAAAACCAAACAAACAGACAAAAAAAAAAAAAAAAGCAAGCAGGAGTTACCCAGTGAAACTGTGAAGTCAAGAGCCTTGATATAGCAGAGAGCTAGAGGGGAAAAAACCTCTATATCAGCTCTATTTTTCTTCTCCTCCACAAAGATCCAAAACTTATCATTTGCCTGTGGCTGGGGCTGTGGGAAATGCCCCTGCAAGGCGGGAGCCTTGGTGAGCCCCCGCCAGCCTGGCAGGGGCCGCGGGCTGCTCCCCTGCCAGGGTTATTTCTGTGATTCTAGCTTTTTTTGACTCGGCACAGAAAAACTCTTTGCGAAGGTTTATGCAGAGCTCAGCTGGTTATGTTCTTTCCAGCGAGGCTGGCAAGGTTTCTCTGCAGCCCATACCTGCTGTTTTGGAATACATTTCCAGGTGTATTTGAGCAACTAAGAGGCGCGTTGGCCAAGGCTCAAGGGAGGCAGGCGGTGCCCTGGCAGGGGGGGGCATGTTTGCAAGGGCCATTGCCAGCGGTTTTAGACTCCAGATTGGATTTATCTGAAGAGTTGTTTTACTGTAAAGGACTCATTCCCCTGTGGTCGCTCTGTTTAAAAAAAAAAAAAAAAAAAAAAAAAAAAAAATCTCAATCTTGTGCACAGCAAGAAACTGCAGAATAAATAAAGTGTGTGACTTCCCGCGCTGCAGATGGGGAAGCAGCTCCAGGACAGAGCAGCCAAATGGGAACAACGAGCGTGGAGGGCTGGGAGCAGGGGATCTGCCGGCAGCTCGGGCCCCCCCGCGGGGACCCCGCACAGGAGGGGGTCCCCAGGGGCTCCATGCTGGTGGCAAATGCCCCACACCATGCGAGACGGGCACCCAGTTCCCCGTGGGGCTGTGTCTGGTCCTGCCCACTCATCCCCACGCTTCCCCCTGTAGCGGGGCAGGGAGATCCCGGGGTGCTGAGCTTGGGGGTGCCCGGCGGGGGGGCCGAGCTGGGGGGTGTGCAAGCAGAGGCACCCACTGTGTGCACAGGGAGTATTTGCAGTCCCGGACAAGGCAGGGCGAGCTCTGCAAAACCAGCCCGGTCCTATGCAGAACAGCAGAATTTCCCTGGCAGGAGCTGTTGTGCAAACACAGGGGTGGTGGGCTGTGTTCTGGCAGCCTTGCCAGTGCCCAGCGAGGCTGTGGAGCAAACAGGGTCCCGGCATGGGGGGGGTCAGTGCATGGCAACCCCCCAGCACCCCTGGGGCTGTCAGGGCAGGGCTGCAGCCGCTGCTCACTTCTGCCTCTTTGCTTTATACGGGTTTGGCTTCCTGCTGACTTACCTCCTTCCAACTCTCGCTCCCCAGATGGATCCCTGCAGAGGCCGGGGCAGGCAGGGACCCCCGTGCAGGTTGCTGGCTCCCTCAGGCGTCCCCCCACGGCTGCGGGGCGGCCCCAGCAATTTCAGCTTTACCAGCACGTCAGCCCCCAGCCGCACAGCATCCCCCCCGGGGCTGGCATGGCCGAGGCAGGAACGAGGCTCAGCTTCTCCCACGATGCTTCACCGGCGCTTGTGGTCAGAGGAGGGGAAAGCAGGTCTCCCTCTGTGTGCAGCTCGGTGATCCTGGATGCCAAAGACCCTCCAGCAAAGAGTGAGGCAGCGCCAAAGCCGCCGGCGTCAGCCCCGCCATCCATCCTGGTGAAACCAGACACGTCCCGCAACAGCGCCGAGAAGGTACGGCCAGGGGTTCCGAGGGGCCCCAAAGTTCTCTTCACAGGGTGGAATTTGATGTCAGCCCAATACTGACCAGCGACGAAGCCCTTGAGGGCTTCACTCCATTCTCACCAGTTTTCTTCTGATAGAAATCACTGGGATTGGTACCTGCATTAAGAAATCAGATATTCATGTTGCTGACTCTGCTGTTCAGATTAAGCCCTTTAGAAAGGCAAGATGCTTCTGGGTCTCATTCCATGTAAGCCGATGTTCAGTCATGATCAAATCTTAAGACTTTTCTGAGGCCTTCAATCAGGCAAGAATCCCACTGAGACCCCTGAAAGTTTGGGAGCGAATGAGCAAACTCCACAGACCTAGGTGTTAGATATTACATCGGGGTCATCTCCGCAGAGCTCCCTCATCTCCCTCGCATCACTCTGGCTGAGCCCTTTGGAATGGAAATTTCTTTCCCCTCTGACAGCCAGGGGGAAATTTCGTAATGATAAAGTGGTTCTGCAGATTGCCCTAGTGACAGCTTTCCCTTCCCGTGGCACCCAAAGGGTAAATCACCCCACAAGTCCCTGAAAGCCCAACTGACCTCAGAACTCCCAGCAAGATCATCATCAGCTGGAGAGAAACCACAGGCTCTCCGTGGGGACACGGGACAGGACACCCCCCTCGTATTGCACTGCCCTGCTCCTCTCCTCCCCACCCTGTCCCGCTGATTGGGGTGATGGGTCCAAGGGCAGCTTGGGGGGGTCCAGGGCGGCTCAGGGGGGTCCCCGAGGCAGCTCAGGGGGGGTCTCTCCTCCCCACCCTGTCCCGCTGATTGGGGTGATGGGTCCAAGGGCAGCTCAGGGGGTTCTAGGGCGGCTCAGGGGGTCCCTGCAGCAGCCGACAGCTGCACCGTGCCATGCCATTCCACCACCAGCATCCCCTGGGCCTCTCCACCAGCATCCTCTGCCCCTAGGCAGGGGCCAGCCACCCCCCCAGCTCATCCCCCCCCCCAGCTCTGCAAGGTACATCGCAGCAAGGAGGGCGGGTGGCTGCTTTTCCCACCCTGACTCCAGCCCCCCCCCTTCTCGTTGCAGCAAGTGAAGACGGTGAGGTTCCAGAACCACAGCCCCCTGCTGCCCAAGCGGCACAGCCTGCTTGTCCAGGGTGGCTCAGGGGGGTCCCCAGGGCAGCTATGGGGGGGGTCTCTCCTCCCCACCCTGTCCCGCTGATTGGGGTGATGGGTCCAAGGGCAGCTCAGGGGGTTCCAGGGCGGCTCAGGGGGTTCCCCAGGGCGGCTCAGGAGGTCCCTGCAGCAGCCGACAGCTGCACCGTGCCGTGCCATTCCACCACCAGCATCCCCTGGGCCTCTCCACCAGCATCCTCTGCCCCTAGGCAGGGGCCAGCCGCCCCCCCAGCTCATCCCCCCCCCAGCTCTGCAAGGTACATCGCAGCAAGGAGGGCGGGTGGCTGCTTTTCCCACCCTGACTCCAGCCCCCCCCCTTCTCGTTGCAGCAAGTGAAGACGGTGAGGTTCCAGAACCACAGCCCCCCGCCACCCAAGCGGCACAGCCTGCAGCCCTCCCCGAGCCTGCCGCGCGGCCGGACGGAGCCGCTGGCCCCGGCTGAGGTTCTGCTGCCCGAAGCCGGCCTGCCGGGCCCCGAGCTGGCCGTGCTCTACTCGCCCAGGACCAGCTCCAGCCCCCTGCACCAGCGGCGGGCGCTGCACCCCAAGGCGCTGTCGCTGGACCTCTCCGGGCAGCTCACCTTCCCCGCCAAGAAGAACTACAGCAGCGTTTCCGCAAACTGACGGGGTAAACTCCTCCGCTCGCTCGCTCTCCCGCCCGCCGCCTCCACCGCTCCCCTCCCATGGCGGGGGGCAGGTGTTCCCCGCGTCCCCCCCTCCACGCCGCTGGCACCCTCGGGCCGCGCAGGCCTCCTGGGGGAGCTCCTGGGGGAGCGGGACGGGACACCCGCAAAACTGATGCTCTTTGGTGTCGCATAAGGCTGCCCGTAAGGTACCAGAGGAGGAACAGAGGGGGAAGAAGGCGTGCAGGTATCAGAAACAGTTGAGCTTGTTTTGATCTCCTCACTGCTGCAGGAAAGCCCACGGAGATCAAAACACTGGTTCGTTACCTTCCTGCTTCTGCAGGATAAAGAAACCGTAAATCAAAATCAGTCAGTCCCTAGCTGACAGTTCACGTTGCCTTTTGATGGGGGGGTTTACTCCGTTTTTTTTTTTTTTAGGGTTGTTTCTCGCTTGCTTTTCTGCTTGGTTTTAGTTCAGGAGTCTTAACACAGAATACAGTTTAAAAGGTGATTTGGAAAGAGACAATGGGAAGGGACGTGCCGTTACCGCAGTCACTCAGACTCTGCAGACAGGGGCACTGAATCTTGCTTCTCCTCATTGCTTGGTTTCCTCTGATTCCCTGTCAGCTACCTCCCAGCCATCCAGGAGCTCAATCCAACTCCTTCCCACCGCCCACCCATTCAGATATTGGCTTTGTAAATATTCAAAGTGGAATTCAGATGTTTAAGTCTACATTAAAATGCATGAAACATTATCTACGTGACAGAAAGCAGAATTCAGCATTCACCCCTCTGCCGTGGCAACACCAGCTCCAGTTTTGAGCTGACCCCATTTCCAGCATCCTCCTGCGAATCCACGGGGAAGCAGGCAGAGGCAGGGAGCTGTGCCCAGCTCGTCAGCTGGGACTGCTCTCCACAAACCCCTGCACAACAGCTTTGGGTTTTCACACTTCGGTTTTACTGCCGGTTTATAGACCAGCAATTCCCATCCTAGCCACAACCACCGACCGCTAGATCTCCCAACGGTGGTAGCTGTGCTTCATCCAAAACTGCTGTAAAATCACATCCTTGGTTAACTGTGTACAAAACCTGTGAAAATTAACTCCATTGGTCAACAAAAACTCTCCAGGGCACTGTCACCACCTGAGAGAAGGATGTTTTCTTCTGGAACAAAGAAAAGGGAACGGATAAAATCATTTACTAGTCTGCAGTCCCTGTTCTTTTTCAGACTTTCTGTTTGTGGAGCGGGAAGCTGGCATCTGCCCGCAGGGATTTTCAGTAACACAGAAATCACCAATGGCACAGCTAAATTCTTCACCTTGTGCTCTCTGTCACTATTTAGGCTCCGGCAGAAAAAATCCTGACAAACTGAAAATGTGCAGTTTGCCCGGGTATGAAAGGTGGCACAGGCTGCAAATAAGAGGGTAAGCCTGACTCTCAGCAACACCACCTCAAAGACAGACGAACACCTCAGAGAAGACATGCCGGTTCTTTGCTGAAGACTCCTCTCATCCCTTTAAAACTAAACCAGAAAACCTCATAAGCTGGCTCTGTAACCAAGGACACATCCGCTTCTCTCAAGCACGTTCAGAAAAAATGAGAATTGCATTAGGTACGTCCCGGACCAGCTTGGGCAGTACTTCACAGCCCTGGTTTGGAGGGAAGGAGGGGCTGCGGGCTCACGCCTGGCTCCAGCTGCGACCACTTGTGGCATGCTAACGAGAAGATAGAGCCAAGCTGTAATCTGCTGACGAAGCAGCTAATTAACACACTCAGCAGCTGACCTCCCCCCAAGGCTCACAGGAGACGGTGGCATGGGTGGCCGGAGCTACACCAGAATTAATCATGCAGGTGGAAATGCTGGGAAAGAAGGAGCAGTGGGGAACGCGAAGCCCAGCTGAATCCGTGGCGTGTGTAGGGAAGGGGGGGGAACTTCTGCAGGTTACTGCCCCCGAAACCAGTGTCCTCATCTCATGCCAGTACAACAGAGCCCTGGTTTAGCTGGAGTGCCGTGGCCGAGCTGTCTGGGGAGTGGGGTGACGCGGGTGGGAGCAGGCTGGGGAGGGGGACGGGCCGTCCCCACGCACACACCGCGGCTGGTGCCGGCCCTGAGGTTGGACGCTCAGCTGCGAGAGGAGCTGTGAGCCCCCGGTGTCCCCGGCAGCGGTGAGCCCGGCGCGGGATGACCAGCCAGCTCCCATCAAAGACCTCCCCTCGTTACCAGCAATTAACCCTGCGGGACCCCAGCGCCTGTCTCAGCAGGAGCTCGGAGGGAGCGCTCCTCCGGGCCGGGGACCACGTCGGTAACCGCTGGCGCTCGGGGGAGCCCCACGACATCTAGAGATTTGGAGGCGAGGGGCAGACAGAAAGCACCAAAGCAGAGGTCAGGGCGGGGTTTGGACAGATGTACGCCGAAGCCAGTCACCTTGGGAATGTAGCCTACGTTTTCCCAGAGGCAAGCGTGCAAGGCCAGGCAGCAAGGAAAAGCTTCAAGTTCAATTTGGGGCTGGAAAATGAAAATCTCAGACAGCAACAGACAGATGTGACTGCAGCTCCACTTCTCCTGCCACCAAAACCCAGGTACAAGGAAAGGAAGCACCTCCTTTGGCCCGATTTATCAGATGCACTAAGCTTCAGGGGACACCAAGAACATCAGGAAAAGCCAAAGGTGCTCAGCATGCCTTGAGACTTAACAAGCCGTGAAGTCTTTCCGCACATCTGGGCTCACAGCAGCCGGATACCGCCCACATTCTCAGTTCAGAATATTGCCTTTCATGGAACAAAACCACCCTCTTACCCTCCCATATCAAGATAAACAGCAATAAGTTTTCACAGCATCCACGCACCCAGGGAAGCCAGCAAAACTGTTCAGCCCATTACACGATGCTGAAGTCTTGAGACAAATACAACCAAAAAGCACCACAGGTCTCTCCTGGCCTTGGCCCTTAGCCCGCTGCTTTAGGACAGCAAGGGACAGCAGTGGGGTGGCAGGGACAGAGAAAGCTCTGACACTCGTGCACACACGCGCAGCCACAGGCAGTGACAGGGAAGGGAAGCACTGGCAGCAAAATTGGTGCTTTGGTAAAAGAGCAGGCAGCTATTTTGGGACAGATGTCTCAGATTCTTGCACAGGATATTTCAGTGCTTTGATGCTATGGTGATAAGTGCCCTAAATATATTCAAAATATGTAGGGAGAGAGAACTGAAAACAAGACATATTTTAAAGCAACAGCCCTAATAAGCATCTTGCTCCCATAGACATACCTGCCCACTGGTTTCATACTGCAGCCCACCGAGCAAAATTGCTAAATCCTCCTCACCTTCCCCACTCCTCCCCTGGCAACACCTTGGAGGAAGCACCTGGACTACGTTACTTCACAACGGAACATCCCAAGGAAGAGGGACTAGAACTCAGAGCTTTTTCTTCCAAAAGCCCAGGCTAAAGCAGAACCTCGTGGAGCTCAGCTGGAGCTTTGTCACGAGCCCCGAGCAAGTCAGTGCCCAACAAGTAGCCCTGTTCTACACGGAGAAGCTGATCATGCTGAGGAAGACATGGACTGGGTCTGTCAGGGAGTGATTCTCTAAGTGCACCAGACTAAAAACTTCTGTTCCAGAACAATTAGTCCAACCACTTTTACTTCACAAGCAGAATCACCACACCGACTTCTTGGAGCATGAGCAAACTTCACATTTATTGTTTCAGCTCTGTGCTGCTGACTTGAAGCGCACTGCGTCTTCCAAGAGGATCCGCTCCAAACCCCTGTCCTTCTCTGGCTACTGTCATCCAATTTTTTTTTTTTTTTTTTTTTAAGTTGGGTAGCAATGAAAAGGGAGGCATCACATGTTGGCAGGAGGGTGGTAGCTTTACATGGAGGTAGGCGAGTTCTTCAAAGGTTTAAGTATATATATAAAAAGAACAGAACTTCCCTCCTGTCTTCCCACCCTCCAGACTCTCTTCAGCCCATTTTCCCAGTAAAGAGAGGTTAGACATCAGCATTGAGCCACTGTTTTGTCATTCCTGAGTTGGCCAGGAGGGCCTACGTGGGAAGGCCACCCATTTCCCCCCAGGGATGTCTCCCCTCTGCATGGTCAATGGCACAGAGGAGGACTGGCCAAACCACCAAGTCTGCAGTCTTCTCCTTGACCACAAACCATCCCATGAAGCACAGAATGCAAAGAAAACATTAGGAAAGGCAAAATACAGTTGCAGGCGTACTGTAGCATAATGTATTTCTATAATGAAAAGACCCTGTTCTCTGCCTGCCCGGCTGGAGGGGTAGGCAGGCGATCCAGGCTGGGAGCACCCGGAGCATCGCGCTTGAGAGGAGCTCTGGAAAAGGGCATAAAGCAGCACAGGGGACAGAGGGACCGTTAACGAACCTCTTGCAAGTTCCTGAATTGGGCTTATTTTCTATCTTCTCATTCCTTATGATCAGTTAATGATTTGGAGCCCGAATCGGATCATTCATCAGCTCAGCTTTAACTGCCTGCCTACCCTGGCAGAAACCTTGGAGAGCTTCAGTGAGTAACCTACCCCCTAGCTCGGGCTGCAGTCACGCTTCCTGAGAAATTACAGGCAGAAGCAGCAGAAGTAAGAACACAAACCACCAGTGAAATCTCTCCACATCCCTTCCCAAAGAACACCCCCCTGTCCCCACCAGCAGCGGCGAGGAACCTCGAGGCCAGGGGGGGGCTCTCCCACCACTGGCCACGGAGGAAGGTCGAAGTGATGGGAATTCTGCAAAGCTCTTTCAGCTGGCACTGGTGCTGCATGGCTGCTCTGCTAGGAGCCCGGGAACCGAAGGCAGGCCGGGTCCGTAGAAAGTCCCCCGGGATCAGTCCCTGCTCTGTGGGAAAGAGGATCCAGTGATCCCTTGGTTGGAAAACGTGAGTCCTACGAGGGGGTGCTGCGGCCGGGCAGCGTCGGGGCCCGCGGAAGCCGCGTTGCCCGTGGCGGGGGACGGCCGGGCTCGGGCTCGGGCAGCTCCAGCACCCCAGGGAGCAGGGAGCCAGGGGTGCCGAGGCACCGCGAGCATCACCCTGCCCGCCTGCGACTGCCGTTCCTCTTCCAGTCGCTGAGCCTTCGACAGTCATTCCAGGAGCGTTTCCTGCAGCCACGAGGGCTCCTCTTCTTGCATGGAAGTCAAGGGGATTTTTTTTTTTTTTTTTTTTTCTTTTTCTATCTTTTAACATAACCTCATGGTTCCAAGAGCCTGGGGCTTTAGAAAGAAAAGCATCCTAATCCCAATACACTAGTGAAAAGCCACAGTGTGCAGGACACCAGGCATTTGCTTCTTTCGCTCTCCCAGCAGCCCTGCTCTCCCCTCAGCAAAGGTCCATTTTCTAAAACTAACATTAGAAAAACACTGTTAAGGTTGTAGTGCATTCAGACTTCTCACCCACGTCATATTCTTAGTCACCAGGTGTTTTAATGAACACTTACTTCCAAACGTTCTATTTCCTGACTTCATCCTGTTTAATTTTTCGTAAGCCAAAGCAAAACAAGAACTGTTGAAACACCAAGCATCTCCTCTGGATTCAGAAAACCCAAGAAATTTGCTTGAGAAGAAAAACCTGAGAGAATAGGCAGCCTTTACCTAAGAGCCCCCAGCCTCGGCTGCAGGAGGGGGGGGCCCTCGCCCCATCCCTCACTCTAGGCAGGAGGAATGCAAACACTGGCCCAAAATATTTAAGTTGGAAACACCAGAGCAGCCCAGGAATGTGTAAGTTCATGTGTACATTTATCATTATTTTAGGAGGTTTATTCATTGCCCAATAGTTATTGCAGACCATTTGTGCAACTACATGTTTTTAAGTGTAATAATAGCCGTAGACTTTAAGTTTTTCAGGATTTTTTTGCCTTGAGTCTCAGTATCTCCCCTGTTTAAAAAGTAGCATTTCATAATATTCATAAAATCGGTGTTTAGAACCCAAAACCACCCAGGTGAAGCGACGGGGACTTACCAGCGAGGTCGGCAGGGGCTCGCACGAGCTGATCACCCCGTGCCCGTTTCACAGCTGTGCAGGGAGCAGGAACCATGCTGGGGGCTGGCACACGGGGTACCTGACCGTGGTCAGGCTGGTGAAGGCTAGACGTGTACTAAAAGGGGAAAAAAGATCTATTTATACCAAAGTTCCAACCAAAATAAATTTTAAAGGCAGTAGGGATCGAGGAAAGGTAGTTCACCTTGATCTCCTGTGTTAACAGACCAGCAAATTTTGTTGTCTTTCTGCACTGAGCCCAGGAAACACTATAATGAAATGTTACAGCCATGTTACTATAAATGAGAAAACAGAAATGACTATTTTTACATGTATATGCTTAGAAACAGTAGAATATATAATCTTCTCTTATTTGGTGATGGGTAGGAGGAATAAATAAAATACATACATTTAGCTTGTTGTTCAGAGACACTTGTACAAATTCAGTGATGCTCAATATTTTTTCCATGATGTGAAGTTCATTTTTTAGGAAGGTTTTTTCAATTTAACATACTATCAGGGAGAAGAGAAAAGTCAATAAACAAAAATATATTAGCTTTCTGTTTTGTATTAACCTTTAAGATATTTATTTTGTATTTCTGTAACTGAAAAAGAATGGTTTAAAAACATTTTCAGTTTTCAGAGGTTTATTCATCTAAGTTTATAGCACTAATGTTTAGATCTGTAGCCTGTAGGTTAATTAAATTAATCGGAGCCGAGTGGATTACGGCAGCGAGAGCGGCGGAGCGGAGCTGCGGCACGGTGCACCAGTTCGGGGCTGGCGGGGTGGGGGCAAACACCGGCCTTGGGAAAGCTTTGGGCGTGGGCAGCATGCCATCCCCTGGGAGCTGCTGTGTTACCATTAAAACTTTTTGCATGAAAAAAAACAGGGATGTTTATTTTCGCTTATTCTGGGTTGCGGTTTCACCAGTCGGGGGCACAGGGCGAGGAAGAGGATGGGGGCTGGTGCCGAGGTGGGAACAAGGGCTTTGCTCTGCGGCTCACCAGCCAGGGTCCAGCTCCTCTGAGCTCGAGCTCCTGCTTTCTATTTTTGATGCTCTTTGTCCCCAGCAGGAACCTGCAAGCAAACATAATAATATTTAGCATTGCTTGACTTTTTTTTTTTCCTTGTTAAATTGCTTTGAAATCTCTGGCCCCGAGGGGAGCAGCGCTTCTCTCCATTTTACGTGGTTAGAAGAGAATCCCTGGAGGCAAGGACAGGGCCCTGGTCCTGCTTCCCATCCCGCCCCTTGCCGATGCTCTGTGGCACTACCCCTTCACAAGAAACTCATCAGCTCCACAACGACGGGTCACTGCTGCTCTCCCAAGAGCAGCAAATAAACCTGCACTAAATGTCAGATCACAAGTCCCAGCCGATGGCAGCAATTTAGGTTCACACTCACAAAGCCACCACTGGCTCAGGGAACTGCTGTGATACAACCACCTGGCAGAAGGAGCAGGTTATTGGGCATTGCACCCAGGTTTAACTCACCGGGGTTATTGGGCATTACACCCAGGTTTAACTTACCAAAGGGGACGAGAAGCAGCAGAGGGAGAGATAGAGATTGCTGTAAAACATTCATGCATTTTATTTTTAAAAACAAGGCATTTTGCATGGTGGGTGGTGAGGGAGAAGGACTGGATGGATAGAAAGAATCATGACTCAGGCTCCCTTGCTGGGAGGTTTTTTAACTAGGACACCCTCGGCGAGGCAGCAGCCTTCCTGCTGGCCCCGTGGTTGCCCACGGCTTTGGCTCTGGGGCCACTGCAGCCCGGCCTCCAGCCAGGGTCCCCTGGAAGGAGCCAGTGGGGTTTGCACAAGGGGCACAACCAAGGACCAGCTTCCCCACCTCATCCTGCACGTCCTGCCGAGATCCCTCCACAGCAGGAGCGAGCTCACGGGCCAGATCCAGGGAATTGTCTGGGTGCTGGGGCTGCTCATTTCAGCCCGTGACCCAGACTCCTCTGCCCGGTACACCTTCAACACAGGGAAGACTGATTCTGAGGGGTGCTGGACACCCACAAGTTTCACTAAAAGAAGGACCTGAGGATGCTCAGTGTGAGCAAGCCCTTGGCTGCGTCTCCCCCTTGACTTGAAAGGGCTCCTCGTTCCCTGACACCTGATTACACGGCGATGTGTCTTGCAGAGCATCTGCTCCAGGCTGTGCAATTCTACAGCAGCTGCAGACACACACGGTCCTGCTCTTACAAAGTACTTTAAAAACATGAGTAGTTGCTTGAAGTTGCCATTCAATTATAAAGCAAACGCTGCCTATGCCTCCGCACAGGAGACAAGGCAATTCCTTAGATTTAATGCATTAGTTCTGCTTTAAAAATGCATCAAGGTAACAGAACAGATTTCCAGATCGAAAAGGAATTTGGCTGCAGGATCCTGCACACGCTGGTGCAAACAGCGTGTGGGGGGCAGTGGGTAGGATCCACCTTCTCCAGGCCTGAGCCCTTCATGCACTTTTTGGGTTTGCATGATTTTAAGGAGGTGAATACTCGATGCCATGTGCAGGGGTGTTGGTCCTGGCTGCAGGCACTGGGGAAGGGGGCTCCTGGCAGCAGCGGGTGCCTGGCCAAACTGGCCCACACTTGGCACCTCTCTCTTGGCCCCCCAGCCTAGAGGGGAGGCACTGGCATCGCTGCACCCCGGCACCCCCAGATCCAGCAGTGGGGTGAGCACAGCTGTGCAATACATCAGCACAGCTGGGCAATACATCAGCACAGCTGGGCAATACATCAGCACAGCTGCCCGACCCAAAGTCCCTAAGGCTGAGAGACAAGAAAGAGCTCAGCTGAAGTTCTCAGATCCCCAACAGGTTTACATCAGAGGAAAAGAGCGATGTTTTCTAAATGCTCTATGCGTGCTTCAAAACCTTACTTCAACTCCAACAAATTCCCTGTATTTATGGCAAATATTATCTCCACCACTGGACTAAGTCCCACCACACGTGGGGTCCAGGTGTCACCTCCTCCGCCAGCTGAGCTGGTGCTGCTCACTGGAAGAATGAAACCTTTTGTCAGCTGTATCCCCGGCAGCAGCAGAGACAGACCTCAAAGCCTAGGAAACACTGTTCCAGCAGAAACAGAGGAGAAACGGGTACGAACTGCACCACCCCCAGGGCACCCAGGAGGGCAGCGCTGCCTCTCGCTCGGGCATCCTGCTGAAGTAAATTCAGTCGTGCTTTGCTATCGCAGCCTCTTGCAATTCACTCACGTTGCTCTTTATTTGCAGCCCAGGAGCAAATACACCCGGCCCAACACACCATCTCCAGCAGAACCAAACCCCCAGGCCTTTGCTGTGGAACCACATTCCTTATATCTGTTTTATAACTACAGTAACAGTACTTTAAACAAGGTACTGTTATAACAGTGCTTCCTGTTCTGTTAAACTCAAGGGTAAGTCCCTGTTTATAAACCCTGGCAGTGTTTATGCAAGTTCTTTAAAAATGCCAAAATCTGGGAACTAAAAGGCACTCAGCCCTCCCACCCCTGTGCCGGGGAGACAGCCTGGATTTGTGCCCACGAGAGCAGCCGGCGCAGCGGCACCAAACCCCCGGAGGAGGGTTTTTGAGCTGTACAAGGACACCGGGGCTGCACGGGGTGGAGGTTTGGAGGTCCCTGCTGTGCCCCCAGTTTAAGGAATTAGCACTTGCAGCACGTTCTCATGACCCAACTGATCCAGCCAAAACAGAACCCAAAAAAGCATCAGCTGGAAGAAGGGATGAGAAGCCTGGGTTTGCCCTCTCTGGAGCTGGGAAAGGTGCGTGGCAGAGCTGCTGCCCGGAGCAGGGCCTGAGGTCTCCGGCACCACTGGGCTCCCCCAGAGCCCCCCCAGCCCCGGCTGCTTCGCCCCCTCGGGTGTTCTGGGTCCGACAGACGTCCGCAGAACCCGGATCCCATCAGTTCAGCCAAGGAGCACAAGGAACCTCCCTCCACCAAATGAGCAGCCCGGCTTTTAGAGCAGCATCAGAACAAATCCTGAAGAACTATTTTCAGAAAGCACTGCTGAAGTGCTCCATGCCTTCGAATCTAACTCACGTCCTTAATGCACGTTAGTGGTGATGATTTTCTCCTCCTCACACATTATGAAGGATGTAGAAGAAACCTGGAGGAAAGTAATGTGACCCCCGCCCAAATAAAGAGGAAAAAGGGGTGTGGAAACCCAGCTATTAAAGAAATAAAACGTCAAAAGAAATAAGAATTCTTCCTATTAGACACATATCTCTGCTTAATAGATCAGAAATTACTCTAAGAGCCACACTTAAATATCAGAGGAGGAATAACTGCATCCCCTCCACGGCACAGGTGTACATCCATGCAGCTCCCAGCCCTGCCCAGGTCCCTGGCCGGGGCACCCACATCGTGGGTGCTGTGCCCCAGAGCTCCCGCCGTGGGAGCCACACACCCCCAAAGCACCCGGGGCCGCGCTGGAGGCTCGTGGGGAGGCTGTGGGGGACCCTGCCCGGCCCCTCCGGGGTCACCCCACACAGCGGCCGGTCACTGGGCACCACGGGCGGGTTCGAGATCGCCATTACCTCCGTGTTTCTCGCTGCAGGAACCACAGAGGTGTTTGGGGAGCAAGAAGCAGCCACGCAAACTCGTGCAAGTTGCCTTGCTGCAGCGGACAGCGAAGAGGCTGGTGGTCCAGCCCCGCATCGGCGGTGACGGCCGTCACGGGCTCCCCTGGCACTGTGCTGTGCACTGGAGAAAGGCACGAGAACATACAAAATTAAAAGATCCTGTCCATTTTTAATCACGCATGCACTACATATTTGGAGTGGCCTTGTGAAGGAAGAACAATGATGAATGGGATTAGTGCTGCTATTTTGCTTTGCTTTACACCAGTTCCCGTTCAAGGATTTGCTTGCTCCCGCGTCTCCTGGCTGCTGAGCTCCACATTCAGCTCCACCACCGATCCCCACCACCCCCCGGGTCTGGCAAGGCACGACTGCCTCCGGAGCAAATGACAAGATCCATAAGGACTTCAGCATCCCAGAGCCATGTCACCACCAATTACCTCCGGGATGCTAAAAGTCGTGCTGTGACCTGACCTCTGGCTCTCCGGTCCTGGTAGGGTAACACACCAGTCACAACCTCACTGGAAGGGGCTTCAGGGGCCGATATCGATTTTCCTGGGTGGAAGGTCTTGGTTGGGTGCTTGTGGCATCACTCTCAGCGGGGTCCCGAGCCCCAGCCCAGTGCACTGCCCGGGGGGGCAGGACAGGGAGGGAGGATGGGGCTGAGGACACCTCCCGTCCCTCCACATTAACCAGGTGGAGCCGACAGCTCTGCCACAGCACGAAGGTTCACCACGGCCACCCAGACAGTCCAGGGACCCATCGATACGAGCGGCGATCCTCCGAAGTACAGTGCAAATATCAGAAACAGACCATTCCAAACCAGCATCCCCAGTGGCTGCTCCCGGGCCGCTCTCCCCGGCCCAGCAGCCGATGGGTGTCTCCAGCTCTCGCGTGAGGATTTGTGCCGCTCCCCACTTCAGCGGAAAATACTTCACCAAAGGTCACACAATCCTTCTGATGCAACAAGGCACTGCTGAAGAATAACTGTTTCTGCTTTAAACAAAATATAGATTCTGGATACTTTGCTGGTGCCACAGAGTCAATAATTCTCTCTTCTGTCTGCAAAGCCTGGAGGGATTAATAAACTGCTTTGAACTGAATTCCTGAGTAAGAGGAGCCCTACCCAAGTCTCGCTGCAGAGATATTTTACAGTGTAATATGCAACAGTGAGCATTCATTTCTCAACAGCTATATGGTTTCTATATAGATTTATTTTTTTTATATAACAGATTATTTAGGATCGGGCTTCTAACTTTACTCCTTACTTGAAACCAGAAAGACAAGAAGTCCCGTCCTCA